GCGCTGGCCACCCCCGCGGGAGGAGGGGCGCCGGGAGGAGGCGGCGCCGCCGGGACCCCAGGGCCACCTGCTGGCGGAGCGCGGCCGCCGCCATCCCTGGGGGCCCCGGCCGCCGCCACCCACCGGCCTGGCTGCGCGCGCCCCGAAGAGGAACCGGAGGCCGCAGCGCCCTCGGCCGGGCCCGGCCGGCCTTTCCCCAGGATCCTTAGGCCGGCGCCGCGGGGGTCGAGGAGTCGGGGCGCCGCACCCCGCCGGCCTCGGGCCGACGCTTCCTGGGGCGGATCTTGTTATAAATGGTCCTGGGAATCGGGGACCCTCCTGGCCAGCCCCTCCTTGCCTTGAGATCCAGGATGTCCAAGGGCCAGACTCACTGGTTTTAGGCAAGTTTTAGGAAACACGAATACCAAAAACTTACCCATCTGCGCTCTGCAAGGAAACGAAGAGATTTTAGGATGTATTGGTGAGAAGTATATTGAAAGTGAGCTTCAGTTCATTACCCCAATACAAGGAGGGATATGGGGAGATCCGGAGTTATATTCAAGGCGAGAACTTGGAATGTGGGGCGCCAAGAGGGTGGCGGGTGAGGGGTGCAATGTCAGTGGGTGCAATGTCAGTGGGTCCACTGACTCTTAGGGAAGAAATGGCCAAGGCAGGTGCAGGGGACTCTGCCACTTGTAGTAGTGCCAACATAATTGACATAAACAGAATACTTTTATTACTTTTATATAATATTCTTGTCTGGGGAGCTAAGCGGGCCCCATTTCCTTCTCACAACATTCTTTAAGGTGGGGATGGAAAAGAATTTTACACCACCTGGGAATGGCAGTACAGGATCTGACATGCTTTAAAGCACCTCTCCAAATTGATCATTTCTAGACGCAAACACAGAGAGTGATAAGATGGACAACCCATCCAGCACTGTGGCAAATTCAGGTGGCCCCAAAAGAGTAGAGAGGAGTCAGGAGAAAGGGTATGTTGATCAATGTAGTGAGTTCTATGGTGGGTCTCGCTCGAATAAGGCGACAGCCACCCAGGGTTCACTCTTGCTGAACAGGGACATACATAGTAGGACAACTTTGAGGAAGGGGGATATTGAAGGCAACTAGCATAAACGCGCGCACACACTGGGAAACAAAACCAAGGACGAAGATAACCTACCAGATAGTGGAAGCAGGGCCTGGTACACACCCTGAGGTCTTAGGTGGTGCCGCCTAAGTGGGGAGCTAATGGGGAGACTGGTTATACCTGGCAAGTATGAGAACTGTTCATTCAGCTCACTAAAGCAAACCCTTAAACAAGAGGTTCTTAGCCTTTTTGGTCACTGTCTTTTTAAAGATTCTGTTCAAAGCTCATATAGTTCTATATGAGCTCTATAGTTCAAAGCCCTCAAAAGATTTCCGAGAAAATGTGTTTAGGATAAGCAAAATTTTGTATAGATTTCTTAGACCCTCTTGGAGCTCTAAAAGGTGGCAGAAGGGGTTAAAGTGATAACAGTATTAATTCAACTACCTTCTTTGGTTCTCTTCCACATTTACCCGTTTTTTCTTTAAAACCAGGCAGTTAAAAACCCAAAGATGTTTGAATATTTCTAAAAAAAACAAAGCATATGATTTTGTTCCCCAGGATAGGACCCTTTCGTTTTTCTTTTGTTGTTTTTTAAAAATGTTATTCCAAAAGCCACAAGGCTGAGTACTATGCCAACTGAACATTTAAGATCAATCATTCATGCCTTGGAGCATAAAATGAGATTTTATTATGTTTAAACTATGATGAAATGATTGAAGGTGCCATACCAAGAAGCAAATCCCTAGGGGAGATATTAACAACTTAGCATATTCAGTTCAAGTGGGAATATGAATTCTATTTACTGAAGAAAGTATTTTTGATATAGCTAAGAAAATATTTCAAAGTACTAACGTTTTTAAGTAATAATCATTTTCCTTGACCCTTTTTCCTGGCTTTCCAAAGATGGTCTATGAGCCAGTTGATCACCAGAGGCTGTATGTCAGGTCTGTCCTATGAACAGATAGAGAAAATAAACAAATATTTATTTATTCTCCATGTTGTGCAAATCACCATGCCATTATATAACAAAAATGTATATACTCATAATTAGCATTTAATAAAGATTAATTATGATATTTAATAAAAAGAGATTGCTTTAAGTGATAGGTATCTGTATTTGTTGCTTGAGTTGCCATAACAAAACACAATAGAAATTAGTTTCTCCTAGTTCTGAAGGGCAGAAGTCTCAGATCAACCTCTGGCAGTATCAATTCCTGGTAAGAACTCTCTTGCTGGCTTGCAGACAGCCACCTTCTCACCTTGTCCTCATATGGTGGAGACAAAGAGTTCTGATCTCTTTCTCTTCTTATAATGACACTAATCCCATCATCAGTGTGTCCCATCCTCATGACCTCTTCTGAACCTAATTAACTCCCAAAGGCCCTACCTCTAAATACCATCACATTGGGAGTTAGGGCTTTAACATGAATTTTCAGGGGACAAAATTCAGTCCATATCAGTATTATTTTTGGTTAATTGAATACTTTTTTGTGTGTTGGGGTGTGCTGGAAAGTCCTGTAGGAGATGTACTAAGGTAGTCTGCCTCTATAGCTCAAAGCCCTCAAAAGATTTAGAATTGCAGGTTTACATGTTATTAAATATTCATGTCAATATGTATGTCAAATATTCTGTGATTTCATGTAGGCAAAACATCATATGGCCATTTCTAAACTCAGTTGATTATAAAGATTAAATGAAGGCTTTAATCTTGGAGAAAGATTTGGCCAGAAAACATTAGGTACTCTTAACCCCAATTCTTAAAACTCTGTTTTGAGAAGAATAGCATTATAAAAATGTTCACCTTTATTTAGAGGTCTGCTGTCCAATAGAAATGTAATTCTAGCCATCTATAGAATTTAAAGGTTTTTTTTGTTTGTTTGGTTTTTTTTAAAGATTTTATTGGGGAATCGGGGGAATCGGGGGTAGGGGAACAGACAAGTTGCTGTCATTTTGTTCTTCAGTCTAGTTGTGGAGGACATTGCTTCACTGGCCCAAGCTGGCACCATCATTGCGCTCTTCCCAGGCGAGGCAGATCAGTCACCGGCTTCTGGACGACCGCTCACGGCGGCTACTGGCCACTCACGCTGGCTGCTGGCTACACACGGTAGCCCATGGCAACCCACTGCAGCAGGGGCCGCAGCCTATGCCATTGACGGCGACTCAAGGCAGCCCAGCTCCAGGTTGAGCTGTTGTTCAGCATCTTAGCTGTAGAGGGCAGTGTCACTGGCCTTCATATGTGGGATCGGAACCGGGGCCCTCTGGCATCCCAAGCCAGCTCTTAACCATCGTTCTACTTGGCCGGCCCTAATTCTCTTAATTTTTATATGAGGTTGGTAGATATTATTATTCCAGTTTTGCAAATGAGGAAAATCAGTTTTCATAAGACCATTTTTTTTACTAAAACTTGAATGGCACCCTGGTTTCCTCACTATCTTAAATTTGATGCATTAACCTTAATACCTTTCTTTAACATAAATTCTAATGTTTTTTAAAATTAAGATCTAACTTACATACAGTAAAGAACATAAACCTTAAGTGTACAGCTCAATTTCTTTTACTTATGTATATATACATGTAACCCCCCCACCCCTAGATTAAGATGTAGAACATTTCTAGCATACCAGCAGGCTCCTCTGCTTGCTTCCAGCATGTAACCAACCCCCCCCCCCCAAAGAAACCACAATTCTAATCTCTACCACTATAGCTTGATTTTTGCCTGTTCTTGAACTTCACATAAATGGAATCATACAGTACGTACTATTTTGCGTCAGGCTTCTTTTGCTCAACATGATGTCTGCAAGATTCATTTACGTGGTTGACTATAGTAGTAGTTCATTCTTTTTCATTGCTGTATGTTATTTCATTATAGAAATATAACAGAAATGTTTATTCATTCTACCATCAGTGGATATTCTTGTACATTTTAGTTCATGTATTTTAATGGACACAAGCACCCTTACTCTTGCATATACATTCATGAGTGGAATATTTGAATTATAGCATAAACCTATGTTTAGCATTAGTAGATACTGCGAAATAGTTTTCCTAAGTAGTTATTACCAGTTTACACCCCACTAACAGTGTATGAGAGTTCTAGCTATTCCATATCTTCACCAACACTTGATGTTATCAGGGGTGTAGTGGTAGATAATTTTCTCATTGTAATTGTAATGTGCATGCCCCCATTCACCAATGATGGTAAACACATTTTCATACGCTTATTAGTCATTTGGACATCCTCTTTGGGAACAGGCGTGTTCAAGTCTTTTGTCCGTTTAAACATTTTTGAGCTGTTCGTCTTTTTAAAAATTAATTTGAAGGAATTCTTTCTATATTCTGGAAACAAGTTCTTTGTAGGGTATTTGTATTGTAAATGTCTTCCTCCAATCTGTAGCTTGTGTTTTCATTCTCAGTATTCTTAAAGTTTTGAATTTTGATGAAGCTGGGTTTATAGAACTTTCTATGTCATGTTAAACAAATGACTTTTTATCTGGATACTTTTCTTTTAAACTTGAACTTGTCAACATGTTAGTTTCCAGAGGCTGGTATGACAAACTACCACAAACTTGGTGACTGAAAATAACAGAAATTTATTCTCTCATGGTTCTGGAGGCCAGAAGTCACAAATCAGTATCACTGGGCCAAAAACAAGGTAGCAGGAGAGCTGTGCTCCCTCCGGAGGCTCTAGAGAAGAATTTGTTCCTTGCCTCTTTCTGTGCCTTGCCTCTTCTCACTTCTGGAGGCTGCAGGCATTCCTTGGCTTTGGCCGGATCACTCCAATCTCGGCCTTTATCTTCACAACACCCCTCCTCTGTGTGTGTGAAGTCACCCTCTGCCTCTCTCTTCTAGGAGCTCTTGTGATGGCATTTAGGGCCCACCCCCAGTTATCCAGGATAATCTCCACATTTCAAGACTCTTAATTATCACATCTGCAATGACCCTTTTCCCGTTTAAGTCATATTCACAGTCTCCAAAGATTAAGATGTGAATCTTTTGGGGGTCCGTTTTTCAATTTCCCAGTCAAATCGACTGCAGAGTAGCTAAACCTCAAGGCAAGACGGTGATACAGGCAAAGTTCTGGCTGGGAGTTGGGAAATGAGTGCAACTACCCACGCAAAATTTTAACACCTGTGGGCCTCAGTTTAATAATAACATATGCCTTACCAGCTCTACACAGTTGTTTAGGTGAAATCCTGCATGTGGAAGTGATTTGCAATATTAAAATTTAGGGTCGTGTGGTATTATTAGTCCCCGCCATACTTGAGAAGGTGAAATTGAATACCTTACCCAGGTATCACAATTCTTGTTTGTGCCATTGAATAAAACTCCTAGGTAAGTAAATACTTCCTGTGCCATTAGAGGTGCCCAGGCTGTAGGGCAGTTAGCCTGGATTTTATCCCAAACGTTTGAGACAGTGCAGCATCATAGTTTGGAGTGTGTCCTCTGCCATCAGACCTCTTGGGTTTGAAGCCCAGCTTGATTGTTTCCTAGTGGCACAATCTTGGACAATTTGGGGACTGATTTAATATAGTAACCTCCCAGCACTATATCCAGGAACAATTTAATATAAAGAATTATTAACTAGTAGAAAGGGATTAGGCATCTAAGGGGTACACAAGGCATAGCCTCTCCCTCTTGGCTCAGGGAGAGGGCACAATAAAGGAACTAAGGACCCCCCCCAACCCCCTAACCCGAAGGCTAGGATTCAGTCTTCTTCAGAGTAGCTGTGGCTACTCCAGGAACTCTCAGTCTGCTGGTAGTAAAAGACTTTCCAGAAGGTGAGGTCAGAACTAGTCTGCAGAAACAGCTGCTAGTGAGGAGAATGTGGCCTGAGGTGTACTTGGGAATCTTCCAGCAGGCTTCTGGGCTCCTACATGGAATAAAGCCCGCCTGGGTGGGGGGTGTGGGGTGTGTCAGAATCTGTAAGGGAGGGTCTTCCTGAGCTTCCTGAGGCTGCTGCCTTGCAGTGTCCCTCTGGTGCCATCTGTTGACATAGCCTATCATCCCACTGGCTCCAGCTCACAAAGCAAGGCAAAGAGGAGTGGCTTTGCAGTTGAGAAGAATGACTGGCATTTATTTCTTCTCTTACGCCTTACGTTCTTCATCTGGGAACAATAATTGTACCCCCCACGTGGAATTATTGTAAAAAGTAAATGAATGAATGTATGTAAGTGCTTAGACCGATGGCTAGCACAGTCTAGGGCAGCTATTCCAATTGGCTCTTATTTATCACCTCATCTCAGGCCCTTGTCACGAGCTCATAGCGACAGAAAATTGAGACACTGCCTCTGGCTTCACGGAGCTTCATCTTTAGCACCTTTAAGTAGTCAGATCTGAGATGCTTTCTAGTTTATACTTTAAGGATTAATACTATTTCAAAGCCTACCTTTAGGAATGTAAAGAACGTCTTCCATTAGAACAACAATTTTTTGGGGGTGGAGGGTGGGGTGGGGGTCTAGCTCTTTTTAGCAGACAAGTATGCGTGACATTTTTCTGTTTGATTCCTTAAATAAGAACATTGGTGACAAATGAATTAATTCCTTCAATGTTTATTAACTGCCTACTTGTGACTCAGGCACTGTTCTAGGCCCAAGGGATACCGAAGTGAACAAGACAACGCAAAACACTTATATCCTCATGGAGCTTAGATTCTGGTGTGTGTGTGTGTGTGGGGGGGGTTCTGGGAGAGCTAGGCAATAAACAAAATAAATGAAAATATGGTATAAATGATCAATATTATGGAGAAAACTAAAACTGGGAATGAGGATAAACTTGATTATCTCAAGTCTCACTATCTAAAGAGCAGTGTGTGTGTGTGTGTGTGTGTGTGTGTGTGTGTGTGTGTGTGTGTGTGTGTGTGTGTGTAAGTAAATGAGAACCCACAGAATCCCAGGAGAGCCTGTGCTGGAATGCTTTCCTTTTCACATAGAGATTTTGGTTACATTTGAGTTAAGCTCTTCTTTTTTTAAATCTTCTTTTCATACTATAAACATGTTTGCTTTTTCAGTCAATTCAGATGCATTGTACCAAGTTGCACATACTCTGGGGGTGATAAAGCCCTTACCCAATGGGCACTAGTCTTAATTCCCTTATAACTGCCAGATTGGTGGTAATCACCACCAATGTCTGGTGAGTTGCTAAATCTGGTCTTTTTCACCTGCACGTCTGAATGTCAACATCTTAAGTCTGAGGAGGCCCTTCGCGTTAAATTCTTTTTAAAATTCTTCCTGTTTTAAATATTCATGGCAATGGCTGATCTCCAACTTATGAAGTAAAAGGAGAAGTTTCATACTAATCTCTTTCATTTAATTGCCCCTTCCAAAGACTTTAGAAACAAGTCTGAAAATTATAGAAAGCACAAATTTAAAAAGTGTTAGTTTGATATGTCTGAAATTAATGCTTTAATTTATTCACCCAGAATCTCTTCACACATCGATGTTTTCTGTAATTTATACCATATACTGTCTACTCAAGTTAATGTGTGAAGCATGGTTAAATTATTCCTAAAAAGGAATATGAAAACCATGTTCAATATGGTGATGGAAAAGGTGCTAAGAAGGAGTAATGGGGCAAAATTTAAATATGACATATTGAAATAGACGTTTCAGAAAAATGGTGAGGTATCTAAGATGTGCCTAGCTGGAACAGCTCCTCAGAAAAAAACTTTAAAACATTAAAAGAAGTATACTGGAACAGACTTAGACAAAATTCTAGCAAATATTTCTATAGGTAATGCATAATATTTAGTATATGTGGCCTAAAACATGGACTAGATAATCTAATAGGCTTCTGTGTGTCTCCTATCTTCAGTTTTCAATCTTTGGTTAATTATGTCAAAGAAGGTTTGGGATAAAGATCAAATGAACAAATCTGTAGAAAGGTGAGACAGATTTTGTCATAATGATTTCATTTACTCTTTTTGCCAGTGTATATAACATGTTGACAGGACTTGTCTCATGGCTAATTTAATGCTGGTAAACGGGGTCAAATGGATGGCCTGGAGACTGCATTCTGCCCCACCGACATGTACTTCAGTCTCATTATAAAGGTATCTGGGTAAGAATTGTAAAGGCAGGATGGTCTCTATGTGATTCGATTTTCTTTGATTTTTCAAGATTAACAATGTAATGCTAATTAGTGGTCTTGTTTCATTTTGTTTTATTTTTAGCTGAGCCATCCTGCCACCTGTTGGCAGCTCAGGGGCAGCTCAACTCTGGCCGGGAATTGAACCAGCGACCCTGTTGCTCAGAGCTCGCACTCTTGAGCGAGCTCTTAACCAACTGAGCCACTCAGCTGACCCCTGCTAATTAACGTTTTTAAATGTTAGCATCTAATTTGGAGATTGCACTCATTAATTTACTGAAATTCCTACCTATGTGCCAAGCACTTGCTTCTAGGTTTTAGGCCATGTAGGAAATACACATCACTGAGATACTGCTCCTGCTTTCAGTGACTGTACAGTTTGGTTAGCTGCTAAAATGAGAGAGAGTGGCTATCTTTACAAGGACCATCACTTCTAAAACACTAAATGAGAAATGGGAAATGGAATTCAAATAGGTGAGTGAGTGGGGGTGGGGAGAGGGTACGTGCAGGAGGAGGTTGCCAGGTTGGTAGGTCGATTTCCATCTACGGTGTTTTTAATGGACTTGTTTTTACTCTTGTGTTGGAGTTCTCCAGAGAAACAGAACCAATAGGAGAGATTTAGATATAGATGTACATATAGATACACATAGAGATAAAGAGATTCATTTGAGGACTTGGTTCATGTGATTACAGAGGCTGAGAAGTCCCATGAGCTGTGTCTGTAAGCTAGAGACCCAGAAAAGCCGGTGGTGTAATTCAGTCTGAGTCTGAAGGCCTGAGAACGGGGAGCTCATGGTAGCAGTCCCAGTCCAAGGGCAGAAGACTGATGTCTCAGCTCAAACAGGAAGGTAGGAAGCAAAGGGGGTGAATTCCTCCTTCTTCTGCCTCTTTGTCCTGCTCAGGTCCTCGGTGGATTGAATGATGCCCACCCACATTGAGAAGGACCATCTACTGAGTCCACTGATTCAACTGCTGATCTCATCTGGAAACACCCGCTACCCCAGACACATCCAGAAATAACCTTTAACCTGGGCACCCCATGTCCAGTCAAGTGGACACATAACGTTAACCATCACAACCCTGATGTCATATTTCAGCAGAATAACATCCCTTTCAAACAGACAGTTCAAGGTGGGAAATAATTTTTGGACTTCTTCAGGGGCAGCGTAAGTAGGACAGTCTCATCTGTGACTTCCTGGGCCTTCGGTCCAAAGCCTCGTCTTGGTGCACAACTCTGACGTGCTCTAAATGTCTCTCCCTGTTTCTCTGCTCTGTTCTCAGGGCAGCTCTGCTTTCCCTTGGGCTGATCCTCATGACCCAACCTTCCTGCGAGTCGCCATTTGGGCAACAGGGAATAGCTGTGGGCCCAGAGGCCACTTAGCACTCATCACCCACATGGCAGGTGCTGCCCATGAACCACCACATGCCCGGCCCAAAGGGTCTCATCTGCAGAATCCTTTGTTGTGCAACCTTGCTCAAGAATGCTTTGACGAGATCTGTATCTTATGGGGATAATGCAGTTTTTAAAGCAAAGGAAAATAAATTGGATAAATGCCGTGAAACTTAGGTGATTCTATAGAGATACATTTAAACATTTCTAATAATTTTTACTAGTTTAACTGAAATAGTTTATAATTACATAACAAATGAAATATAAATATATCCCATATTTGCTTTTAAAATAATGATTTAGCTCCATGATGTGACACTATTGCAAATAGTTTCAATCTTCAAAGAATTAGGGTGAGAGTCTTTTTTTTTTTTAAGAGAATGATCAGAATTGAAGTTAAGAAACTGAGAATTAGCCACATCAGACTGTATTTCTCACTTCAAATTTTCTCTTTTCTACTCAATCTGTGTTAGTATTTTTCAAGAAAAAGAATCATGAGTTTTTAAAATTAAGTTTAAAATTATATTTGACATATTATATTAGTTTCAGGTGTACAACATAGTGATTAGACATTTATATACCTTACGAAGGGATCACCATGATAAGTCTAATACCCTCCTGGCACTATACATAGTTATTACATTATTGTCAACTGTATTCCTATATGCTGTACTTTACATCTTTGTGAATTTTTTTCTTCTTTTGAGCACTTAGGCTGATGCCTACCCTCATCCCTGTTTAAGTTTTCCAGGTAGCGTACTAATATTTTATTACAGTATCTTTACCTATATGTTTTCCGAATTTGGCAATGCTGCTTTACTTTAGAGTTTCAAACATCCCCACAAGCACGCTGCTTTGAAATTCCCACTCCCTTTCCAGGCACCGAGGAGAGACTTTGAGCTCATCCATACAGGGTGTGCTGACAAGGAAATTTCCATATGGTCACAGCACCACAGACTCTTTGAGGGCACGCTGCCCTGGTCTCTGTTTATAGCACACCACTAAAACACTTCCAGCTCCTTAAGTATTTTAATGTTCCACACTGACTCTGTCTCATCTTGCTGTTCCAGAGGCTGCTTTTTTTATCATTCTGATGGTGTAGGTACATTTTTTGTGAGCAACTCTAGAGGCAGTATATAACTAAGAATTCCCATTTTCAAGCCTAAGGTCGTCACTCCTGGTTGATAGTCCTCACTAATTGTCATAGATTAGGGTTACCAGATCTAGGTGTAAAAAGTCTTACAGGAACAGCCAGTTAAATTTGAATTTCACAATAAAGAGTAAATTCTTTTTTTACAAAAAGCTATAAGTACATCCCATCAATATTGCCGACAGACTAAGAAATTATTCGTTCTTTACATGAAATTCAAATTTAACTAGTGTCCTGTATTTTATTAGGTAACTCTACCATAGATGGGAATCTCTGCTCATGTAGCTTCCTTACCCTTGGATCCCCAGAGCTTCACCGGGGTTCAGAGTCCAGAGAGAGGGTGAGGGGGTGGGAACACAGGAAGGAAGGGTTGACTTTCATTGCCAGGTCCTTAGCAATTTCTGGGGCTTTAAACTCCCTTCTATGTCTAGAAAAGTGATGCTGAGGTATCAGGTAAAAGGAGCGGGACCCCAGGAATGACATTGCTCCTTATGGGACCTTACCCACCCATTTAAATCAATACCAATTTATCCAGAGCCCAGCAGGGCTACAGCAATATACATCCATCATATGTGGTCCCTGAGATGTTCACCTGGAGTCTACGGCCAGGCCATGCTGTACCCCGTGATATCCTAACAGTATATCTGGTTAAGGTTACCCATCATGCTACTACTGTTTAGTGAAATGCAGTTCTGCTTGCAAGATGTTGGTATGACAAAAAAAAATTAATATTTGAGGATTCACAGCCTCTCTCCGTCCTTACCTTGAACAGGAGAATTCTGTCTTTACCTGCATTGTGTCCCTGGTCCCAGGTTAATGGGAGAGGGAGGGAATTAGATGCAGCCAAGACCAGTGTAATTGATCTCAGAAAGCGGCTAGATGAGAAAGAAATGGGTTCAGAAGATGAGAGAGGTAGGGCAGAAAAAGAACAAAGTGGGGTGTGTGTGTGTAGGGGTGTGTGTGTGTGTAACAGGGCATATGAGAGAGAGGGGGTTTTAGAGGAATATGAGGAGAATAAAGGGATAAAGGGGGCCTGGAGGCAGTGTTCCTGACAGGACCCTGAGATATCAGAGAGGAGAAAGAAAAAGATTTTCAAGAAGTTTTTCTGTGAATCATAAGATTTGTCCCCTTTTGGCATTTTTTGAGACACTGTGGTTAATGTTTATCTAATGGCTTTTTGCTGTCAGAGTGATGGTTCCTCTGAGTGAATTATCCTGAGATATGCCTACATATAGCCTAGCTTATGCCATCTTCTCAAAGTGAGGAAGGAGGAAAAACAGTGCAGTAAGGACCCATTAAATTCTGACCAAGTGTTGGGCAGCAAAACTGTAAAACTAGTGCCTCATTTATTCTGTCATTTTAACATTCCCTGGGAAGAGCTAAAACAGTTATTCCCAACAGGGACACTGAAAGATAGACATTATATATCCACGTCTTTATGACATTGTGGATCTTTTCTTTGCCTTCTTTCCTCTCTTTTCCATCAAGTAGTTGAATATATGTATGGCATGTGACCATGAGATAAATAAACATATTTTGTCATGCAAAGTAGAACTTATACTCCAAGTTAATGGGATTTTTTCTTCCTAAGTTGTTATCATGGGTGCTGAAATCTTTGCACCTATGCATCATTGCACTGCATTTGAACATGGCATTGTTCAATAATATTGGAATTACCTTCAGAGTTTATGTCAAATTATTTCAATTATCTTCAGCGATGGAAAATCTTCATCCTTAAAGATGCATTTGACTTTTAGAAACAGCCAAGGGTAATCTGGAGCATATTTTGATGGATAAAGTATGTAATGATAGTAGATAATACTTTTGGCTAAAAACAAGATAGCAAAATTAATAAAACTTTATATAGCTCATCAACTGAAAATAATTATAAAAATAAGTCATGCTAAGTGATTTTTGAGCAGTGGGTTGAGTTAAATGAAAGGATACTCTCCTAAAGAACTAGTTCAAAATAATCATTTGTTTGAAACTGTTTTTATTCATTCATTTATTCACCCATTCATTCAACGTTAACTCAATAGACAGGCCTTGAGAACCCCTCCAATCTTAAACACCGGCTCTCAGAATATCAAGATAAAAAGATTTAGTTCTTGTTCTCAAAGAACTTCTAATTCCATTAAAAATTTGATATATAAACACACAATTAGAGTGTATATATTTTATCTGAACCCTTTGATGTGTTTTGGAACTCAGAATATTTCGTATTTTCGCAAGGTACTGTGATTCTGTTACTGTGGCTGCAGAACAATTACCCCCAAAACTTCGAGCCTTAAAACAACAAAAGCATTAATTTTTCTTATGAATCTGCATTTTGGGCAGGGCTTGGCAGCACCAGCTTGTCTTTGCTCCACTCGGCCACCAGCTGGGGCCCTTGAAAGCTGAGGGCAGACATCACCTGAAGGCCTCACTCACTCACTCGCACATATGGCAGTGGGTGCTGGGTGGTGGTGGATGCGGGTTTGTAGTTGAGACCTTAGCTGGGCTTGTGGGCCAGAACACTTCCAAGGGACCTCACCATGGGGCCAAGCTTCCTCCAACTTGGTGACTGGGTTCCCAGGGCAAGCATTTGAGAGAGAAAAGACAGCAGGCATATTACCTTTTAGACTTTGTTTTGAAAGTCATAAAAAAAAGTCATAATAAACTGTCATTCCACTGCCTTTATTCATCAAGGCAGTCATAAAATCACTCCCAGTTTCAAGAGGGAAAGGAAACAGACCTCTCCTCTTGATAAGTAGTGTAAGTTCTAGAACGTGTGGGACGAGAAACATTGCAGCAGTCATTTTTGGAATAAGCCACAGGTGCATATGCTACATGTTACATAAAACCACCAGTTGGGTCTGAGGCTTTACTCTGTAATGAAACCCATTAATGTTTCTGCAACAAAATTAATACACATTCACACAAAGTGGAATAAATTGAGATTAGAAATCTAAATAGTTCCATTCCGTTTTTGCTATCAAATGAATTAACAAACAATATTTTAGTTTGCGTAGATTTTTCTGGATTTCAGGATTTAGTAAGTGACTTTTGGTGTGTAATATATTTTGTGCTAATGGAGGCGACAGGTACACACAACATATCTGGAAGGAGAGACGGTAGGAGGACTGGGGAGTGAGAAATCTTCATAGGAGAGGTAGCTGAAAAGGGATTCATAAAGAAGGACATTCCAAACCAAAGAAACAGTGTGTGCCAAGGAGTGGAGGTCTGAGAGAACACGAAGTGTCTGGAGAAAAGCTAGAGTGTCAGAATAGCTGGAATACATACATGAGAGAGTGCCAGGGGCCAGATCACGAAGACTCTTGGATACCATATTATGAAATTTGTATTTTTCTTTTTTTAAAGATTTTTATTGGGGAATTGGGGGAAGAGGAACAGACAAGTTGCTGTCCTTCTGTTCTTCAGTCTAGTTGTGGAGGATGTTGCTTCACTGGCCCAAGTTGGCACCATCATTGTGCTCTTCCCAGGCGAGGCAGATCAGTCACTGGCTTCTGGATGGCTGCTCTCTGCGGCTGCTTGGCCGTTCACGCTGGCTGCTGGCTACACATGGTAACCCATGGCAACCCACTGCCACAGGGGCTGCAGCCTACGCCGTCGCCGGCGACTCATGGCAGCCCAGCTCCAAGTTGAGCTGTCGTTCAGCATCTTAGCTGTAGAGGGCAGTGTCACTGGCCCTCATATGTGGGATCCGAACCGGGGCCCTCTGGCGTCCCAAGCCAGCTCTTAACCAATGCGCCACTCGGCCGGCCCAAATTTGTATTTTATCTTGTAGAGACAATGTGAGTCCGATTAAAGATTGTAAACAGAAGAGGGCTGTGATCCTATTTACCCTCCTGTGGAATGATTATTTTGGTAACAGAGCATAGATCGAGGGGGATGAGGACAGGGTTCATTTAAGAAGCTCTTCAATAGGCAGCTAGAACTGACGATTGCCTGAAATAAGAGAAAGGAAGAACTGTTGCTTTTAGCTGCCATTTCTTTTTGTATTATAGATGAGAGTAGATCAAGAAAAGCACGATGTGGGGATGGAGATGAGTTGTCCAATTGTCTCTTTTCTAATTTAACTTTTTATCCAAGTAGTTCATATGTCTTCTTTACAATGTAAAATAGCACAAGGCATAGAGTCAACAGCACATCTCATTACCCCCAGTCTTGCTCCCGAAAGGCTCCCACTTTTACCCCTTTAAATTGTTTCTTATGGGATTTGCCTCCATGATCTAAATAGCATGCTGTATTTGTTACAATTAACAGAAAAGCCAATTGAAAATTACTTAAATAATCGCACTTATTCTCCCACAACAGGTCCAAATTGGACAGGCTTCAAACACTGTGTTTGCCTCCATCTCAGCTGGCTCCTCTCATGATCACAAGATTGATGTTTTGGTTCCAAGAGTCACATGAAAAAAGAAAATCCAGCGGAAGAAGAAGAGGGACTGTTCTTGTGAGTCTTTCTTTTATTTAGTTTATCAGCAAATAAATCTTCTCCAGAATCTCTCCAGCTCCTTTCCCCTCCTGTGCCTTCAGCTAATTTGGGTCACATGCCCTGTGTTGGATTATCCATTGTCAACTTGGCATCACCACAACCCCTTCTAAGGTCTCTTTTGCTTTGAGGAGCAGAAGCCAGGAGCTACAGTTGCCAGGATCCCCTTTGTCATATGGGTTCCAGGCTAGAGTGTGGTGATGAGAGGCACTCTTAGTCAGAGTGATGGAGAGATCATTATTCTCCAATCACAGCCAGAGCTGTGAGTGGATGGATACTCCTGGAAACTTCAAGTTGAGTTATGAGAGCAACCTGCTTGAGTACATCAAGTTGAGCAGGTCAATGGTGATTTCTCTGACCATTGCTCCATTAGGCCTTTTTTTTTTTTCTGGGTAAGCCACCAATTCCCTATATTAAAACCATTTATATCTGGACTGCAAAGAGTGCTTCTGATATTTGGCTGATATATGACCCTTCCTAAATATACCACTGATGCAAAGGAAATGAATTACAACACTGACATAGACTAATCAGGATTTACCCCCAGAGTTATGTGGGAGGAGAATGGACATTTGAACAAAATTGCTATTCTGCCAAAAACAACAACGACAATGAAACGGGATGGGGAACGGAGCATGATTCCAGTATGGAGCAAAACGAATACTAGGAAATTTGGCTTCTGGTAATGGTGGTACAACTTGGTTGGACTAGTCATCCCACAGATAACAATGATAAAGTCTGTATGAAAATATAAATAATCAACTATTTGAACACATTGGAACAGAGACTATTAAGCAGGCAGAAATTGGAGAGGAATCTACACTCAAATCATTGTACTATACCATTGTGATTTTTGAGTTTGCAGTTTTTCCCAGAGATGCTCACCAATCCCCTAGGTGGCTCAGGATGGAGTTGCAGCCTTACTGGTGGTGTCAGATGGTGGTGTCAGATTACAGAGTTCAGAACTGGAAGAGCAGCTGGGAAGCAGGTAGGTGATCCTAGAAGGGAGGGAGCCATAGAGGTGGTGAACCCCTAAATCTACATATAAACCCTGCTCAATTTCTGGTCTGACCACTGAAATATGCATTAGTCGGGGAGACCACATGTGCCCAGTGGAAAAGTGGCAACTAGAAACTGGAAGAATTGAGCTGAGATTTCAGCTCTAGAGAGAAGCAGCAGGTGGAGATGGGACAAATACAAAAGATATGTAGATATCACTATTTCAACACAATCCCTTTACTTTATATTCTCAAATATATAGCCCCAGTTAACATGCCTGTTTAACCATTCTCCTATGCAAAGTATATAAAAAGGAATTTTTTTGCACAAATCCATGTGGATTATTGTAAAATAATATTTGTTTTACTGCTGCTTAAAAAGCAATTCCTCCTCCACAAAGTATTAGCGAATCAAATCCAACAATGTATTAAAAAATTATACAGCACAACCAAATAAGATTTATTGCAGTTATGCAAGGCTGGTTCAACATTTGAAATCAATTAATGTAATCCATCACATCAGTAGGCTAAAGTAGAAAAGTCACATCCTATCAATAGCTGCAGAAAAATATTTTGACAAATCCAACACTCATTTATGATAAAAACTCTCAACGAAGTAGATATAGAGGGAAACTTCCTCAACTTGATAGGGAATACAGTAGTCCCCCATTCTGTGCAGTTTCTCTTTCCACATTTTCACTTTCCGTGGTTTCAGCTACCTGCGCTCAACCATGGTATGAAAATATTAAATGGAAACTTCCAGAAATAAGCGATTTATAAGTTTTAAGTTGGATGCTGTTTTGAGTGTATGATGAAACCTTGTGCCGGCCCGCTCCATCTTACCCAGGACATGAACCATCCCTTTGTCCAGCGTATCCACCCTGTAGACACCACCGGCCTGTCAGTCGCATAGATTGACTGTTGCAGTATTGTAGTGCTTGTGTTCAAGTAACCTTATTTTACCTACCAATGGCCCCAAAGCCATTCACATAACTTTTATTACAGCATATGTTAACTAATAAAACTAATGATTGTTTTATATTAGTTATTGTTGTTAATCTCTTACTGTGCCTAATTTATAAATTAAACTTTATCATAGGTATGTGTGTATAGTAAAAAACAGCATATATAGGGTTTGATACTATCTGTGGTTTCAGACATCCATTGAGGGTCTTGAAATGTATCCCCCATGGATAAGGGGGGAGGTTTGCTCCTGTATCTACAAAATATCTAAGCTAACATCATATATAATGGTGAGAAACTAGATTTTCCCCACTTGACTGAGAACAAGGTGAAGATATCCACTCTCATCACTCCTATTCAACATCACCTGGAAGTCCTAGCTAATGAAATAAGATAAGAAAAGGGGAAAATAGGAATACAGGTCGGGAAGGAAGAAATAAAACTGCCTTTGTTTGCAGATGACATGATTGTCTGTGTACAAAATCCCAAGGAATCAACAACAACAACAACAAAAACCCTCCCAGAGCTAATAAACAATTACAGCAAGGTTGTAGGATACAAGGCCAATATACAAAAACTAATTGCTTTCTTACATAATTACAAACAAGTGAAATTTAAAATTAAAAACATAGTACTGGGCCGGCTGAGTGGCGAGTTGGTTAAGAGTTGGCTTGGGACGCCAGCTCTGAGCATCAGGGCCCCGGTTTGGATCCGACATGAGGGCCAGTGACGCTGCGCTCTCTACAGCTAAGGTGGTGAACAATAGCCCAACCTGGTGCTGGGCTGCCGTGAGTCACCAGTGATGGTGTAGGCTGCAGGGGAGCTGCAGTGGGCTGCCATAAGGTACCCTGACGGACTGGCAGCCAGTGTGAGCGGCCATCCAGTGGCCGGTGAGCGACTGCCTCACCTGGGAAGAGTGCAATGATAATACCAACATAGGCCAGTGAAATGACGTCCCCCACAACTAGACTGAAGAACTAAAGGACAACAACTTCTCTGTTCCCCTTCCCCAATTCCCCAGTGCTGTTCCCCTCCCCCAATTCCCCCCAAAAATCTTAAAAAACAAAACAAAACAAAAAAACATAGTACCATTTACATTCACACTAAAAATTGAAATGCTTAGGCATAAATCTAAGAAAATATATAAGATCTATGTGAGGAAAACAACAAAACTGATGAAAGAGATTTTAAAAAGATCCAAATATATGGACAGATATTCCATGTATATGGATAGGAAGACTCAATATTGTCAAGATTTCAGTTCTTCCCAATTTGATCTATAGGTTCAGAACAGAAAGCCAAGAAATAGATCCACACATATATAGTCAAGCGATCTTTGACAAATGAACAAAGGCAACTCAGTGGAAAAAGTATATCTTTTTAACAAATGGTGCTGGAACAACTGGACATCCACATGCAAAAAAATGAATCTATACAACTTTCACATATTTCCCAAAAAGTAACTCAAAATGAATCATAAACTTAAGTGTACAAAATGACAAAACTCCTAGAAGGTAAAATAGAATATCAAAGTGACTTTGGTTTTGATGATGACTTCTTGGATAAAACACAAAAAACATGATCCATGAAAGAAAAAATTGATAAGCTGAACTTCATTAAATTTTTTTAAAAAACTGTTCTGCAAAGGACACTCTTCAGAGAATGAAATAAGCCAAAAATTGGGAGAAAACCTTTGCGAAACATAGTTATAAAGAACTCTTAAAATGCACCAAGCAGCAAACAATTCAATTTTTTTAAATGGGCAAAAGATCTGAACAGACACCTCACCGAAGAAGATACACAAATGACAAGTAATTATAAGAAAAGGTGCTCAACATCATTTGTTATTAAGGAATTGCAAATTAAAACATGATACCACTGGCTGGCTGAGTGGCACGATGGTTAAGAACTGGCTTGGGACGCCAGAGGGCCCCGGTTCGGATCCCACATATGAGGGCCAGTGACACTGCCCTCCACAGCTAAGATGCTGAACAACAACTCAACCTGGAGCTGGGCTGCCATGAGTCACCGGCGACGGCATAGGCTGCAGCCCCTGTAGCAGTGGGTTGCCATGGGCTACCGTTTGTAGCCAGCAGCCAGCGTGAGCGGCCAGCAGCCGCTGTGAGCGGCCGTCCTGAAGCCGGTGACTGATCTGCCTCACCCGGGGAGAGCGCAATGATGGTGCCAGCTTGGGCCAGTGAAGCAACATCCTCCACAACTAGACTGAAGAACAAAACAACAGCAACTTGTCTGTTCCCCTACCCCCAATTCCTCAGCACTGTTCCCATCCCCCCAATTCCCCAATAAAAATCTTTAAAAGAAAACAAAAAACAGGCCGGCTGAGTGGCTCAGTTGGTTAAGAGCTCGCTCAAGAGTTTGAGCTCTGAGCAACAGCGGTTCGAGTCAGCCCGAGCTGAGCAGCTGTGAGCTGCCAACAGGTGGTGGGATGGCTCAGCTAAAAAAAAAAAAAAAAAAAAGAAAACAAAAAACAAAACATGATACCACAAAACACCTATCAGAATGTCTACAATCCCAAATATTGCCAACACCAAATGCTAGCGAGGATGTGGAGCAACAGGAGCTCATTTGTTGCTGGTGGGAATACAAAAGAACACAGCCACTTTGGAAGATAGTTTGGCATTTTTTCTTTTTTACCAAACATATGCTTATCTTATGATCCCGCAATCATGCTCCTTGGTATTTACCCAAATAAGTTGAAAATGTCCACAAAAATTTGCACACAACTTGGAAGCAACCAAGATGCCCTTCAGTAGGTGAATGGATAAACAGGCTGGGGTACATTCATACAAAGGAATATTACTCAGCAATGAAAAGAAAGGAGCTGTGAAGCCATGAAAAGACATGGAGGAAGCTTAATTGCATATTGCTAAGTGAAAGAAGCCAAACCAAAAAAGCTATACTACTATATGATTTCAACTACATGACATTCTAGAAAAGTCAAAACTATGGAGACAATAATAAGATCAGTGGTTTCCAGAGGTCAGGGGGAGGAAGGGAGGGATGAAGAGGTGGAGCACAAGAAATTCTTAGGGCAGTAAAACTATTCTGTATGATAGTGTAATGGTGAATGTATGCCATTATACATTTATCAAAACCCATAGAATGTACAACACACAGAGTGAACCTGAAGGTAAATTTTGGACTTTAGTTAATCATAATGTATCAATATAGGCTCATCAATTATAACAAATGTGCCACACTAATGCAAGATGTTAATAGTAGGGGAATCTCAGTGAAGGGAGTGAAGGGGTATGTGGGAACTCTGTACTTCCTCCTTGTTTTTCGATTGGGTTGTCAGAAAAGTCATGACGTATTTTGTCTATGTTTTTCAAAGGTTATTTATTTATATAAAGAACAAAGATCAATCAATGATATATTGCCCGTTTTGTTCGATAACCTTTTGCCATCTTGCAGTGAGCTTCATAATTCCTCATTCATTGAAGGACCTGTCTTTATTGGCGAAAAACCGAACAACATGCTGATTTACAGCCTCATCTGAATTAAACGTTATACCATGCAACGAATTTTGAAGAGAGCGAAACAAGTGGAAGTCTGACGGGACAAGGTCAGGTGAGTATGGTGGGTGTGGCAACACATCCCATCCAAGCTCCAATAATTTTTGACAGGTGATCAAACTTGTGTGTGGTCCCGCGTTGTCGCAATGGAACACAACTCCTTTACAATTAACAAGCTCTGGGCATTTCTGGATGACGGATTTGTTCAAGTTGTCCAATTGCCGACAGTACACACTCGAGTTGATTGTTTGGTTCCTTGGTAGGAGCTCAAAAAACATGACACCTTTAAAATCCCACCATACTGAGAGCATAACCTTTCTCTGATGAATGTCTGCTTTCGACATTCGTTTGAGGCAAATCATGTTGGGACCCAGACTGTTTGTGCACCACATTGTTGTAAACAATCTACTTCTCATCTCCAGTTATTAGTCACTTCAGAAAAGGATCGTTTTTCTCATGTTTAATGAGCATATTGAAGATGTTTATACGCA